TACTTCAGAGCAACTTCGCGACCCATCTGAGGAGCGGTGGCCAACTTCTCCTTGCGGATACGGTCACCCTCCTTAGTCAATCGAAGATCGTCGATACCACAACTGAAGCCCCGCAGGTTCAGGACGCGAGTGAGGAGTCTTCCAAGAATACCGATGAGCTTGCCAGCAGTGCTGTATCCATAAACTTCATGGACGGCATCGATGAGACCACCGGCGGTGGGGCCGAGCTGTTTCTTATCAAGAATACCACAAAGGTACTCTCCATCCTGGAAGATAACCTCTCCTTCTTCGTTACCCTCGCCCCATCGATCGCCAGGGGTTGAAGACTTGCTCTTCAAGGTCAAACCTCCTCGCTCTGGGGGTTGGATGTTCTTGAGGATTGTCGTAATGATCTGCTTTCCGGTCCATAGGCACTTGGGCTTTCGCATGGCAGGCTCGACCAGTTGGATCCGGTCAGTGACAATATGCGAATGTTCTGGTCTCAAGCAACTGTACAAAAGCTGGTGATAATCCTCCTCGTCATAGAAGCTGTCACGGCACGTAACCCACGTTCCCATGGAAATATGATCTTGAATCAAACCTCTCAGCGGTTTGCCTGATGTGGCAACGAGATACTGGTGGTCGGCGTCTGCCAGCATTCTGGCTTCTGCTTGAGCAAGCTCATTTTGGGGGAAATGCATGTTCATCTCGTCACCGTCGAAATCGGCGTTGTAGGTATTACAATTGGCGTAGTGCATGCGAATAACCCGCTCATTAGGAAGGACACGAGCCTTGTGACCCATGATGGAGGGTTTGTGCAGAGTGGGCTGACGGTTCATCAAGACGTAATCACCAGTGGTGAGATGACGATAGACCTTCTTGTTGCGCGAACCTTTCTGGCGCCAATTTGATGGTGCGAGAAGTTGGTTGGCAAGTGCTGTCCGCTCTTCCAGGTTCTTGAACTTGAGGTTGATGACTTGTCCGTTTTCGTTCTCGATGGAAGAGGCGCCGGGGTATTTGTCGGGACCGTTGATAACAGCCTCCTTCAACTCCCAGAAGTTGTGGTTTGTCACGGGTTCAGGGAAAGTCAACTTCTTGGCGAAGACAAGGGGTACACCAATCTCATTGGGTTCGATGTTGGGATCGGGTGAGATAACACTACGAGCAGCAAAGTTGACACGCTTGCCCATCATGTTCTTTCGGAACAGACCTTCTTTCTTCTCGAGAATCTGCTTGATACCGTTAGGCTGTGATAAGGCAGCTGAGCCGGTGACCGAGGTACGATCGCGGTCAATCAAACCGTTGACCACATCTTGGAGTTGAACGATAGCTTGAAGGAGATCACTGTAGTTCCGTGCCCGGGACATGGTCTTCTCTTCCTCGTTTTGGATCTCCTTGCTGATTTGGTTGATGGTGTCACAGCCCTTCAAAATTGCATTGAACGAAGTGTTCTGCTGTGCCTCCATGACTGTTCCTGCACCCTGTTGGACTGCAGGGCGGTACTTGTTTGGCGGCACCATAAGAGTCTTGATGAAGAACATGTCCGCCGATATAACTCTCACTCCCTTGGGCACAGGCCGAGAATTGTAGACAAGCTGCAGGATCTCACTTTCTTTTTGGAAGAGAACATGAAGAGCTCCATAGACTTCGGAAGAAGACATGAATTCCTGACCGGTCGATCCTTGTACCTCCTGCACGACAGCCACACCACGGCGGATTTCCTCCTCGGCTCCGTGGACCTCAGAGACGCCATTCTTGGACTTGGAGTTCCTTTCTTGCTCGAGAAGGACCATGGTATTCGGTGCCTGGAATCCTCCTTGCAGCATTGCAAGCTTCTGCTTCTCGGGTAATTGCTTTCGGAAGATTTTGCTGTAGCGGTCCTTTTTATAGGAGGGGGACACTCTGCCATAATGTTAGCTGGGAAGGCCAAAGTCAGGGTCGAGGAATATAACGTACCCGCTGCAGCTGACACATTTCTTGAATCCGTTGATATCCTTGAAGAACGCCTTCAGCAACTCTCGTCTGGCTTCCGCGGCAATAGGGTTCTGTCCCCCAGGCATCAATCCGTCCAATTTGCCCTCCTTCTTGGCCTCGCGGATGCGCCGAGTGACATAATCAGTCCTCTTTTGCATGTAATCATCATCATCGGGATCGTCTGAGTCGTCCGAATCGTCTTGCTTGCCCTTGGTGGCCTTGGATTTGGCACCTTTGGCGGCTCCCATCGCATCGACAACAGCGACTTCGTCGACCAAGCCATATTGCAGAAGGCGCAATTTGCAGGTGTACATGTTGACCTGGTTGCGACCCATCTGCAGGCGAAGACAGTACACACATTGTGCTCGCAGAAGGCGGAAGATGTGATCGAAGAAGGTGACGTTATAGAAGGGTACTGGCAGCTCAATGTGTCCAGGATGTCCGGTACAAGTGAAAGAGTTTTGGCGACAGGTAGTGCATCTGTAAAACAAGCAAATCTCTCGCATTAAAGTTTGAACAGTATACTGATCGATTCAAGACTTACACATGATCTCCCCAGGCGCCCATAGCAGGGTCTTGAAGACCACCAGGAACTGGGTTGTTAAATGAATCCAAAGTCGGAGTATTGTGAATTCTTTTCACTGAGAGAGCTTTAATCTCTTCCTCGGAGTAGACATTGAAGTCGACCCCATTAATGGTCGAGGCGACCGGGCGCGCAAAAGTTGCCATTGTAGCCTGCAGCTCCTTGAGCAACAGAAAACGCTGGCGCACGAAATCAAAGTGCTTGGATTCAGACCTCCAAGTGCTTTTAGTTCTGGAGCGAACTTTTTTTTTTCCGGAGGAGCAACTTCTTTTCTGCCCGGATCCACCGCCTTGCCCTTTTTGGGTTTCTGCGTGGATTACTCTTGTCATGCACAATTCCTACTGCTTGTCTATCCTTTACTCATTCAACCTTCTTGTATTTTCCTATCGCCAGAAGACCGAGTGCTTGGAAGCCACGTACACCATGGCTGACGCATCGGGTAACGCGCTGAAGCGTCCTTACCCTGAGGATCAACACGACAACTCTCAGAAAAGGACCCGCTCCAACCATGGGTCCCCAGTACCAGGTCAAGGAGGTGCTGCCCCGGGCAAGCCAGATATTGCGAAAATAATGGCAGAAGCAAGGGCAAAGGCAGAAGCTGTGCGCGCTCGTCTACAGGCGCATGGTGGTGTGAGAGCGACACCAACACCACCAGCACCTCCAGCACATCCAGCACCTCCAGCACCACCCGCACCGGATTCTGCAAGTCCTCCCCCGCCGCCACCCGCTCCTACGATGTCGAAACTAGAACAAATGAAAGCTCGAGTCGCTGCAGCTACTCAACGAGCGAGCGCACCCTCTCAGCCACGACCCAGTGCACCCGTACCATCCTACCAACCACCCGCGCATGACGACGAGGGCATGTCCAAGGCTCGCGGTGGTCTGGATGTTGGCCTTCATCCCGCGCTTCTCTCCGATGCTACCCCGGAATATCGTGGTGCAAATGGACGACAGGCTAAACCAAAACGTGCCGGTGGGCCCCAGCTTGATCTGTCTGGTCCATCTGTCGAGGAAATCAAGAATAACCCTTACTTTGACCCGTCTATCAACCCGAAAGCAACTATTGCAAAGCCCCGAAAAACACGAGAGCTCCATTTCAATCAAAAGGGCAAATATATCCAACAGGCAGCCGCTCTACGCAGACAGGCACAGCTGGAAGCTATGAAGAAAAGAATTGCAGAGAAATCGCGACAGGCCGGACTTGACGAGGATATCGATGTGGAGAAGGCGTTCGTCGTTCCTGCTCCGCCCGCTGTAGAATGGTGGGATGCAAAGTTAGTTGATGGCAGCGACTATGACGCAATTGATGACCAGGAAAACATCAAACTTGATACCCTCAACAGCTATGTCCAGCATCCTATCGAGCTCGAACCTCCGCAAGAAAAGCACATGCCTGCACAAAAGCCCATGTTCCTTACGCCGAAAGAACAAGCCAAGGTTCGTCGGCAGCGACGCATGGCAGATTTGAAGGAACAGCAAGCGAAGATCAGGCTGGGACTCGAGGAAGCACCGCCTCCAAAGGTCAAGAAATCCAATCTCATGCGGGTTCTGGGAGAACAAGCTGTGAAGGATCCCACGGCTGTGGAAGCTCGTGTGACCAGGGAGATCGCAGATCGGAAGGAAGCGCACGAGATGGCGAACGAAGACCGCAAACTGACCAAGGAGCAACGACGTGAGAAGTTGGAAGCTCAAAAGGAAAAGGACGCCTCTTTGGGCATCTTCCAATCTGTGTATCGAATTGACAGTCTGGCAAGCGGCCGGAACCGCTTCAAGATCGGGAAAAACGCAGAGCAAAATAATCTGACGGGCATGTGTGTCATGCATCCCCGGTTCAACCTGGTGATTGTCGAAGGCGGCCAACACTCCATCAAGAATTACCGAAAGTTGATGTTGAACCGCATTGATTGGACCGAAAACCCTGGATCTGATCGAGTGCCTGCAGACAGCCCTGAAGCTAAGGTTTCCTGGTTATCCACTGAGGATGATAAAGGAGAGCCCCGGGATTTTAGCGCGAACGCATGTAATCTCCTCTGGGAGGGTCAGACCAAAGGCCGGGCCTTCAGGAAATGGTTTGGTGCTCGTATCTGTGAAACAGACTCTGCTGCCAAAACAGCCCTGTCCCGAGCCAAGATGGAGAACTTCTGGACACTGGCGAAGAGTGCAAAGCCAGCTGAATATTAACATTTCCTACGGCTGATAATCAAAGTCTAGGTCTATTGTACTTTTACAGATAGCGAATATGCTTCATATTTAGCCATTATCATTCATACGCATGATGATTCAGACGTCTATTATTTACCGCCCCATGTGCACCGTAATTGTTCAAACAGAGACACTCAATTAGAGGTATGGAAAACTTTTAATCGAAACAAAATTTCCCTGCCCACATAAACCCCGCTCCGTATGCAAAGCAAATATTTTGATACTAGGATATCACAGAAGAACATAATGGAAAACGAAGTTATCATGAAGGAGGATGACCCTGGTTCCCGCCGCTCAGGTTCCGCAACAGATCCAGCTGAGCTTTAACTTGGTCAAAGTTCATAGCCGGGGCTTGGGCGTGGGGAGCCTGATGCTGTGGCTGTGGCTGTGGCTGTTGATAATGCTGTTGAGACTGTTGGTAAAGCTGCTGGTGTTGCAAAAGCTGCAGGAATTGTTGCTGCTGTTGTTGCTGCAACATAGCCAGGGTTTGAGGACTGAATTGAGAAGCACCCTGTTGGGCGTTCTGGAAGTTATTGGGCGGCGGTTGTTGGAAGGCCGGATATGGAGAGAACTGGAAGGGCATCTGTGGCTGCGCTCCACCTTGGCCGAATTGCGGCTGTTGCTGTGGTGCGAGCTGCGGGTTCTGGGCTTGCTGCTGTGCGTATTGCGCATACGCGGCGAAGGGCTGGGCCATCCCGTATGGCTGCTGGGGTTGCTGGTACATTGGCTGGCCGTAGGGAGCAGCGGGCTGGGCTTGAGGCTGAGGCTGAGACTCGTGGGTTGAACCGCTGGTCTGCTGGGGTCGACGATCCTGGTCCCACTCCCTTCCACCGCGTCCACCTCTGCCTCGTCCTCCACGTCCACGGTCACCCCGGCCACGACCTCTTCCGCCACGGAACCCGCCACGCTCGTTGCCTTCAACTGGTGGCTCGCGAGTATTCATCATCTCGTGGAGGTTGGTAGGGCGAGCAAGAGGGGTGTAGCCCTCCTCGGCCCCGGCATCGTCGTAGTTGAGCTCGGTCTGGTTCAATTTTGAAGGTCCTGGGGCTGGCTTCTTGCCTTTGGGGCCTTCTCTGGCTTCCTTTCGCTCTTGTCTCTTCTGCTTCAGCTTCCGCTTGTATTCAGCTTCCGCTTCATCGTCAGAGAATTCGATCTCTTCATCGGCAACTTCCTCGTCGTGGAAGTTGGAGGCGTCACTGCCCTTCATGCCCTTGAGCGGCTGGGTGAACACAAACGTGGAGTGCTCCTCAACATAGAAGACATCTTTGCCCTTGACAAAGCCTTTTTCCTGGACTTCGGCGGCTGTGGCATATGTGACGGTATACAGAGGGTTCTCCACTCTGCCCAGGGTCTCTGCTACGACACCCATAATCTGGCGATCATCAGAGCAGAGCAGGGAGCCCGACTCAAGTACCTGATATTCTCCAGAGGTATTGGCCTCAATAAGAACATTGTTATCGATAGCCGCATGCACTTTGCCGAGGAACACAATCTTCATCTCCGGTGTGATCTTAACATCAGGGACAGGCAGGATCTCCTGTTCGATCTCGTTGGCGGTCCGCAGTTGTCCGCCTGGTTTCCCCTTGCCGTCTCCCTCGTCATCAGAGCCACCTTCCGCCCGCATGAGAATCTGCGCTTGCTCCTCGGCGCTGAGGATGGGGTAGTCTTCATCGTCACTATCATCGGAGTCCGAGGAATCAGAGCTGTCTGAAGATGACTCGTACGGGGAAGAGTCAACCTCCCACTCAGGGTGCTCCTCTTCGTTGGCATCGCCAGCCTGTCCAGTGACTTCGATCATATTATCTTCGCGCGTATCTTGCCCGATATCCATGGGCGAATTTTTGATTTGGTTGGCCTCTGTCTCCTCCTTAACCACTGCCTCGGAGGGCTCGGCCTGAGAGGTGTGCGGGATTTCCTCCTGCTTTATTTCTGTCTCGGATTCTTGGTGATTCACTGGTTCATCTTGCTCTCGCTTGGTTGTGTGTTCGGTCAACTGCGAGCCAGTTTGTTGTTCGGAGGAATGGTGAATAAGGTTCAATCCGGGGATCACATGGTTTGGCTTGGAGGAAGCGAAAGGTTCGGCTTCTCTGTTTCCAGCATTCAAGCTGGTCGTATCCATCTCTGGTGTACCTGCAGCCAAGGGAGTGTTATAGAAATCGCTGCCGTTGTCCGGGGTCCCTGCGATAGGCGTCTCGATAAGACAGGGTTTTTTCGGGGCATGGCCTCCACCAGCACCTGCAGTGTCATTCGAGGGATTATGATATCCGTGCATTTTGAATCTCCAATCCAAATATTTATTGAATAAAAACCAGTTCAACTCGAAAGATCAAAAGTCGGACGGGAGACTTTTTTTATTTTGCCAGACTCCGCATTTGGCGGTCAACGAGGTCTTATCGGTTATCGCAGCTCTGTCGCATCGCCTTTCGACTTAAGTCCAGCTTGCAAAATGGCAGGGAACGACAATGGCTCGGGGGATGCCCATAAACCTCGGACAAAGAAGCAGTATGTTTATGGATCTGTGCAGGATTAGACATGAATGAAACTAACCTGTGTATAGACCCTCACCGGCTCCCTTCTACATTCCCCTCAACATCACGCTATACCTATGCCTAATTGCCAACACTCTCGCCGCAATATTCTCCCCAATTCAAGATTGTGATGAGGTGTTCAATTTCTGGGAACCTGCACATTACATACAGCATGGATATGGTCTTCAAACCTGGGAATATTCCCCGGTTTACTCTATCCGAAGCTGGCTCTACGTGTCCCTTCATGCTGCTATAGGCAAGATCGGGTCTTTAGTAGTCCACAGCAAGACAGCTGAATTCTACACAATTCGCCTATCTCTTGCATTCATGTGCGCCGCATGCCAGACTCGCCTATACTCTGTGATATGTCGTACACTCAGCCCCCGCATCGGTCTCTTTTTCGTCATGATTATCACACTGAGCCCTGGCATGTTTCATGCTTCGACCGCCTTTTTGCCCTCTACCTTTACCATGTATATGTCTATGCTGGGTCTGGCTTCGTTCCTGGATTGGAAGAATGGCCGGAAAACAGCGCAGGGCATCATGTGGTTTGGCCTGGGGACAATTGTAGGGTGGCCATTTGCCGGTGCTCTCATTATCCCTTTTCTGGCTGAGGAGGCTATTGTTAGTTTCATTTCTGGATCTGTCTGGTCACTGTTGTACAATGTCTTTGACGGCATCATTCGTTGTTTGTCGATTCTCGTATGTGACATTCTACTTGATCCCAATGTCTTTACTAAGATGTATCACAGGCTCTTGAAGTTGCAGTTGATTACGTTTTCTTCCGAAAACTCGTTCTCGTGCCTTGGAACATTGTTGCATACAATATTTTGGGAGGAGAAGGCAAAGGACCGGATATTTTTGGAACTGAGCCATGGACTTTCTATGTTCGAAACCTCTTGCTCAACTTCAATGTCTGGTTTGTCCTCGCCATGCTATCCGCGCCCCTCCTACTTTTCCAGATCGTCTTTCGATCGCACACTACCTCCTTGCAAACCTCATTGCGGTCCATGACCCTGGTCGCTCCCTTCTACATGTGGTTCGGGATTTTCTCGGTCCAACCACACAAGGAAGAGCGGTTCATGTACCCAGTATACCCGTTTCTGGCGCTTAGCGCGGCTTTGAGCTTCCATATTATCCTGACTTACCTTGGCTCTACTAACCAGAAGGAACTGATCGGCCGCGTACCAACTAAACTAAAGATTGCTGCAGCCCTGTATGTTGTTGTAGTCGGTTTGAACGCTGGCATGCTGCGCACTCTAGGGATGGTTACGGCTTATAACGCTCCATTGAAAGTGTTCGAGCCCCTACAGCATGTGGATATTGCGCAGGCAGGAGACTCAGTGTGTTTCGGCAAGGAGTGGTATCGCTTCCCCTCATCATATTTCCTTCCCAACGACATGCGCGCCAAATTCATCAGAAGTGAATTCCGAGGACTACTTCCGGGCGAGTTCCCAGATGCACCGAGCTATCTTGGGCGTCTGGAAGGTGCCTCGCAGATTCCATCTGGCATGAATGATCTCAACGTCGAGGACCCTAGCAAATACGTAAGTGTCTCAACATGGCATTGGAATGATCATTCCTATCCCTATTCTGACTTTACATCAGATTGATATCTCTCAATGTTCTTTCCTGGTTGACTCTTACTTCCCTGGTCACGACGCAACCGAGCTAGAGCCCCATTACCTCCTAGACAAGGCGCAGTGGGAGACACTTTCCTGCGCAAGCTTCCTCGACGCGACTCGAACAGGTCTGCTGGGTCGGCTGATCTGGATTCCTGATTTCCCGATCATCCCAGCTCGCTTCCGACGCAAATGGGGAGAATACTGTCTTCTTCAACGAACAGTGGCAGGCCATGTATAGATCCAGGGTACTCTTGAATCCTTCCGGATAAAAGTCTAGAATAATTATGTAAGGACATTAACAGGAAACGATCACTCGCATCGAATGCAAGCAGATAAGTAACACAGAAGGTTATCAAGTACAAGCGTAGCGTCACCTTTCCCAATTAGGACAAAATATCCCTATGGACTTTTAGCTTTTCCTCCGATAGCCCTCACTCCGCTTCACATGAGACCAACTACGGACAGACTATGGACATAATCATGCAGCCCCGGATCGGACAGCTCGAAAAAGACTGCGTCCCCCTCTTCCCCAGACAAGATGATCTCTATCCTCAGCCACAATAATTAACATGTTGACCAAAGATGGCCTATCTTGCATCGGATTAACAAGGCATCTCGCATAAGAGAGCCATCTACGTAGGCAGTTAGGATCCTTCTCCGCACTCCAGACTTGATAAGGGCGATCCGATTTGCGTTCGCTATATACTACATCAACTTTTGGTTCCTCAACTTCTATTCTCAATGTATCCTCGAGCTAGGTACTGCCTAGTAGTGTCTCGCCATGGCCATGTCGGTACTAGAGTCCCTATGGGGAACTATATTATCTACTCCAATGAAAAAAGTTGTGGATGCCTCTCTCATTCTCGGGGTCTGTATATGGCTTGTTGTCTTGATCTCAGAAAAGTGGGCTTCTAGCACGGCAAGAGCTTCGAGAAGTGATCTAGAAAAGCCCGCTGCAGCTGTGAGAGGAAAGGTCGCCAGGCCACCAGGTGGTAAGTAAATGCGGGATAGCACTTACAAGAATGAGAAAGACTCACTACTGTTGCTACATAGAATGGACTCCATCGGATTTCAAACGGCCAACAGCAGCCCCATACTCAGGATGGGATGTCCACTCGACGAAGCCAATCCCCTACCGGCCGTTTAGATATGGCCCGTATGTTGAACAAATCCATTGAAGATATTTCTGGCCGTTTTCTAACCTTTTCTGGCAGAAAGTACTACATCACGTTGGGTCTAAGGAGCATGAAATGGGACGAATGGATCGGTGAGCCGTTCTTCGATAGTCAGATCCCACCAGACCATTAACCTCATATAACCGAACATAGAGCTCGACAATCACTATCTGAAATACCACGCCGACAAAGCACGCCGCATCGAAGAGCGCGGGAGCAAATGCTGTCATACAGCTCCAGAGGCAATGGATGCTGCAATCGAACTACTGGAAGAACTGTAAGAACAATCAAAGCATACCCAACCATATCCAAGAAACCCCCTCCTAACACCCCTCCCACCAGATGCACCTACCTCCCCGAAAGATACCCAAGCATGTTCACCAAGACCGCAACGGGAATAACCAACAAAGTAACCAACGAAACCTTCAACATGACCCAACGCCCACTCCCGGAAGACCCAATGGCGACAGCGGCGCGACTCGTCCAAGACGACCTAGCCCTAATGGTCGAGCGACCCGACGGCGAATACTACCTACTAGCAGGGGCGATCCTCCTAGCTGGGTTCTGGCGACTGAGCGACAAATTCGGGATGCGACTATCTGAAATCCACACAGCAGGCGACGTACCGCAGTTCAAAAGCAAGCTGGAGAAAGGGATGATGAATTTCTTCCGACGATTACGGCCCGAAGAGCCGGTTCTGCGGAATAACTATTTCATCCAGGTGGACGATAACCTGGCATGGTCGCATAGTATTGGGTCCGAGGATGCGGAGACGGTGTCATGGAACACGGCGGAGAAGAACCGCGCTATTGAGAATCATTTCTTCCGCTCAGAGAGGCAGTCGCTGAGGAGATTGCCTAGATCTGGGGCGGTGGTTTTCACCATTCGGACTTATTTTGAGCCTATTACAGCCATTGTCGGGGAACCTTATGTGCCTGGGCGTTTGGCGGATGCGATCAGGAGTTGGGGTGATGATGTTGGTCGGTATAAGGGGAAGGAGAAGTATCAGGATGTTTTGTTGGAGTTTTTGGATGAGAAGCATAGAGTGCAGGTTGAGGGAGGTTTGGATGTTGACAAGGAGGATGAGGTTAGGAGTTATCCTCTTTGAGTGAGATGTGGTTACGGCTTTTCATGAGTGATGTCTTTCGTTTATTCGTTTATTTTGATATTTATTTCCAAGATCGGGGGCTATTAAATGCAATTAGTGCGATGCCTAGGCTTGGTCTTGAGGCCGCTTATCCAAACCAGCACTGGATTAAGACGACCTCAACAGGCCCAAGATGGATGTAGTAAAAGAGCATGCTCAGAGGGGACCAACTCCGTATTCTTACGCTCGCTGAGCGCGTAATATGACTCAGACTCATCCAAGACAAATCATACATCCGCAATGGGCCCAGCTCTCCGACCTCCACCCCGTCTCGCATAAGCCATCTCACGCTCCTCACGCCAAGAGCATTCATCGCGGAACTCGCATATCCGACATTTCCACGCGTCTATGATATCCACGCCGCGTGGATCTCGCTTGCCACGCCACCAGGTCATCTGGTCAGTGAGGTAGGAGGTGAGGGAGGTCGGATCGAAGAGGAAAGATCGGCTTCCTATGAGCTGTCTCTCTTGGTCTTCGTTGGCAGCAGACGAGAGATATCTAGCTGTGAGCACCGGGGAGAGGAGGGTTGAGTATGGTTCCAAGAGCTCTGGCTGAGAAGTTGATGGGATAGATGGTGCGATCGATTGTGTGTCGGAGGAATTGTCGGGGAGGAATGTGAGGCGGAGTTGTTCTATCATGAGACTCCAAAGACGGGAGAGGTTGTTGTGTGTTAGAAGGATGCCGGTTGAGTCCTGGCTAGCAGTAGAAGGACCCTCGGTCTGTTCGGGCTCTTGGGAAGAAAGAGCGTCGAAGAATTGGTCGTTCAGGCCGCCAACCTCCGAGACGAAGGCGTTCGTGAACGGTTTATCGGCGTCGAAGTCGTAACGAGCGGCGAGGAGGTCGATGGTGACATCGTCGCTTGTGATCAGCCGGTTAAGCATGTGGTAGTAGAGTTGCAGCTGGAGAAGAGTAGGCCGGAACCCCGTGCTTTTAACATTCGGTAGTGATCGGTTACCCTTCGTCTTCACGTCCGTCAAATAAATCCGGGGCAGGTTATAGACCTCCCCAGGCAGCTCCGGCTTAACCGTTTCCTCAACTCCACTCTGTCCTAGGTCCGAAAGCTTCATTCCGCCTTGCGAAGAAGAAAGCAGAAAGTCCGACAAGGACATCTGATACTCCGGCAGCGCAGCGCGCGACGCTTCAACATCCGCATAGTACCCCGCAGCAGTAGCCTCGAGCTCCGAATCCGGGCACTCATAGGACAACTGATCAATAATGCCATTGACAAATTCCCCATCGACAACGCCCCAAACCTCCAGCTCACGCGTAACGCCATACTCGCGCAGCATACGCAGTCCCTGAATAACATTCCATATCCTAAGACCCCACGCGTCCTCTTTAGTCGTGATTTCCACAGGGACAGTGGTGTATATCTCATCCTCGAGCGTTTTGTGCATAGAGCTTCCCTTCTTCATAGCAGCAGTCCTCTTCTTCCGCCCATGTTTGGTCAACGTGAACCAGTACTGCAGCTCGCACCAAGCTGGCGACACCAGATCAGTCACCGAGAACGCTTTATTAGGTGCTTGGCGGAACCGTTCGACGGGAGATCGAGTATCGAGCGCCGCTTCCGCGGGATCCTGCTGCGTCCATTCGAGCGCGCGTGCTGCGTTGCGCTCGCGTTCTATTTCTCGGCCCTCGGTTGAATTAGAGTGCTCGACTAAACGCTTCGGAGAAGATGTCGTCAGCTCAGTTCGGGTTGAATGCAATGGGACCAATTTATTGGGAAGTGTGGAAGATCAACCGCAGGAAGGGAAGTGGAAAGGCAAAAGACATACCAAACGGGCTGTTCCTGTTGCTGTTGCCAGCGCGCGGATTTGACCTCCCAATTGCACTCGCACTCGGACCCCATCTAACCGCCTGACCTGGTCGAGGCTGCGACTGCCGCCATGGCGAGCGAGGCCCTTCCCGGCCCAGCACCTTAGGCAGCCGGACGCCAGCTGGCTCAATGCCATCCTCGATATCTGCGACGAGTGTCTCTAGAGCCGCCGGTTGCAATGGCTCGAGATCGGCGAGTTCTGGGGATTGAAAAGGGTTGAGGATGTGGTCGAGCGGCGTTGAGGTCGAGATCCAAGTTGGTGTCGAGATCGAAGTGGCGTCAGCGTCGGTCGCGTGTTCCGCGATGGCTTTGTTCAACAGTCCGTTTAACAGATTCTCTTCATCTGGAGTGAAATCAGATCCGTAATCAGAGTCATCCTCATTTCTCTCTGGGCAGGACATGCCTGCGACTGGAGGGGATCATGTCCTGTAGATCGAGTTGATGTTCGGGTGCGTCATTGCGATGTTCCCCAACTGAGGAGCTGCCTTAAGAATCCAGTTGTTCTTACTGGCTGTGCCATCGCATACTTCCATTCATAATATCAATTGCAGGAATATTAGATCTTACATGGAATGATTAGCAAAAAATAAGTCTATTGATCTAAGTAATTGCTCTTGGTATCCCATGCATCGCTTTGAAACAAAAAAAGAAGATATCCCCAACGCCAATATTCGGCGGTGATCTATGAATCTATATACGCAATCAGCCCTCAAATGTGCTTTTATGTCAACATCTCACGCATTCATGCAGTCCCAGCAGAGATCATATTTCCCCCAGAAACAGCATGCAACGCACCAACACCCATCCCCTCTGCCGCAGCAAGCGCCTCAGCAGCCGCAACCTCCTTAGCAGCCTTCTGATTCAACCAGCTCAAATAGGTCTGCCAGCCAACTGCGATACACCCAGAGAAAACATTTCGGAACTGCGCCGGCACGTACATAAAGCTGAACGCAGTAACAGCCGGCCAGAGCTTGACGCTGTTTTGAATGCTAACGGGAAGAGCCTTCTTCAGCCGCTCCCATGTTTCCTCCAGCGTCGCACCAGCGAGAAGAGAGTGCACGCTAAAGAAGTACGTGTTGAAGACGGGAGTGAAGCACATCTGCTGCACAACGACCTTCGTCAGGATCGAGAGGAACTTGCTCGGATAGTTGAAATGGTTCCCGAGAAATATGAACCTAAGAGAAAGAGCAGGTTATGTCAGTTAAAATGTATATACGCACACAGATAACCCCCATGTAGTAACAAGCTGATAGAAGCCATTCACATAAATAACCAAATCCCGCACGACAGAGCGAACATACCAGTTATAAGATGGAATACTCGACCCAGCGCCAACGCACAAATGCCGCAGCGTCCTAAGCGGATCATAACCAGCACTCACAGTGGCCCCATCCTCCCGCGCAACGCCGTCTTCCGAGTCGGATTTCGCAGGCGCAGGAACCTCAGAAGGGAACAGCATCTGCGCGCTCAGATCCCCACACAGGTAGATAACGATCGCGCTCCAGAACTGCGTCGTGTACGGCTTTTGCTCCTGCACGCGCGCATACCACCTTCCGAACTTCCCCACCGGGCCGGCCTTTATCACCTCGCGGAATCCGCGACTTCGCACGGGTGTGGTCGTCGCACCGGCTGCGGCTGTGGCGGCGGGGGTTGTGTTTGGCAGTTGGGGTGAAGGTGACGTGGTTGAATGGTGCAAGTGCGACGGGTGTGCAGGTGTGGTATTTCTCTCGGCAGATGTCTTCCCTGCAGAGGAGTCGGAGTTGTATCGGCGTTGTGGGCGTGCTTGGCGCAATACCTGGGGTTGGGATCTTGGGGTTATCGGTCGGCGGAGAGTGGAGGTCGAAGGTGAGGTTGAGGCCCTGGATAAGAGGCCATTTCGGAGGAGGGCCATGTCCAAGGCGACATCTAATTATTTACAAGTAAGAATAGTCGAAAGTGGAAGTAGAAAGTTGTCAGGAATTACAAAACAATGAGCTTTGAAATCCAACCTCGGGCGATAAGAGCCGAAAAGCGGGTGAAACTCCGATGTCAGGCCGGATGCAGGTTCCGATTAGGGTTGGGTATATTGTGAAGATTTACTATACTCATAGAAGAGATACTTAAAAGGAAGTGTTAGAAAATAAACATTTCAATTGATATTTCTGTAAAATTAAACCCAAACTCCGGCTAGATACAATGCATCCCATAAAAACATTAGTCGGATGAGGCTGCCCTCAGTATGTATGGATGATATGAACGGGTATCAAAAGTAAAGACAAACGTATAACACGCAAATATGGGACTTTTGTGACATGAGGGGAAGGCTCAATAGAAACTATGATTAGAGTGACACAGGCAGGTAGGTATGACAAGCCCGGGCAAGAGATGGTAAGGTGAGAGGGGATATAAACAAGCTGCTCAGCAGCCTTCTATTTGAAGGATTCACGAGTGTGGACACGGTCAATATCGTAAGGATTTCCCTCGTAGGTAACCGAGCGAGCCAACGAGCCAGCAGTGCGAGTGGAAGCGACAGAGTGCGCACGGCTCCGAATGCGCTCCGTAGAGGGAAGTTCTTCAACACCGTCCTGAGACTCACTGGAGAGTGAGCCTTCGGGCGCAGGGGCCTCTGTGCGGTCATATTCCACTTTCTCATCTTCCGGTGGCGCTGTCGTAACCTGTTCCTGGAGCTTGCGCATGAATGCATCGGACTGGGCGGCGAACTTGCAACGGGTGCGGATCGCGGGTCCGTACTTGTAGAACAAGAATGGGAAGGGCACACAGGCAAGCGCAAGAAAGGCCGGGATCGAGGATGCCCAGTGGATACCCAGGTTGTTATACATATGAGTAGTGAAGAGAGGGAAAGCGGCACCGAACAGGGAACGGATGACGGAGTTGGCGGCTAGCACGGACGCAGCAAAAATCGTATACGAATCAATGAGGTAGTTCATAATGCTTAGGAAGACTAGGACCATTCCGAATCCAAAGGGGACGCCGGCTGCGATGCTGACCATGAAGTGGATTGAGGGGTAGTTGGTCCATGCGAACCAGAACAGGCCGATTGGGATTGCGACGGATGCGATGAGGCAGGGCGGGAGACGTGCCTCCGGTGGTGCAAAGCCATTATGTCTATCGGTTACCTCGATATAGCGCTTGTTGTCCCAGAGCGAGTATATGACGGCAATCAACATGCCGATCATGATACCGAGGAAGGCAAGGCCACCAACACCCTGGTTCCAGCCGCGGGACTGCTGGTAGACAATAGGGAAAGCGGCAAACATCATATACAAGGTACCGTAAATAATAGCCATGTAGAGAGATAGCAAGAACACAATAGGCTCTTGGAACAAAAGAACCCAAGGGCGGGAGAGTGACACTTTGAAGGAGTCCTTGAGAGAGACTTTGCCTTGGTCAATTTCAAGCTTACTCCGGTAGATCTTGCCCGATAGCTTTGAGAGTCTCTCCGCACGGCGACGGAGAAGCACGGGCGCATAGGTCTCGGGGATCGTTAGAGAGCCTATAATCCAAACCGTACCAGCAAATACGGCAAGGAAACCCATGACCCATTGCCAGCCGCCGTCGCTCATACCAATGAATCCACCGGCGATAGGGCCGATGATAGGGCCGAGGAAAGGTGCAGCGGCGAACAAACTCATGGCGACACCTCGCTGCTTAGCGGGGAACATGTCCGCAATGACACCACCTGCGTTGGTCAAAGGCGAAGATCCAAAGGAACCGGCGAAGAACCGAAGGATGATTATAGACCAGGCATTTTGAGAGCCTGCGACACCGGCATTGAAAGCTGTGAGGGCAGCGTAGGTGGAAATAAACAGAATTTGGCGACCAAACAGCTCACTCAGTGGAGCCCAAAGCAATGGTCCAATCTATATCAAAGCAAATAACGTTAGTATGCAAACAAAGCAAATTGCGGAGCCTCAAGAGCCAATTTCTAGAGAGTGGAGGCCTTACCGCGAAACCGAGAACGAAAAGCGAAACTCCAAGAGTGGCAAGTTCTTGCCCGATGTTAAACTGCACCATGATCTCTTGAATACCGCCGGTATAGGCAGATGATACCAGTGAAACGGCCAATGTTGCGACGGCCACCAGCATGGTAAAAGTCCATTTCTTCACCTCGCTGAAGTTCATGGGATTGCGAGGGTCATCGGGAATCCATGTTACTGCAAAAGGGTCCTCATCTGTACCTGAACCGGGGTATGGGTGATCGATGATCTCTTGCGTGACGACACCCTGATCAAAGACCAAGCGCCAGTATGGGATTTTCGTTGGGGCAGAGGGCTCGATCTTGTCGAAGGTCTGAGGCTCTGAGTCAGCTGCCATGGTGGGCAGGTAGTGAATTAAGTTTGTGATGTATAGGAGTCGACAGTATTCGAGTTTGAGTATGTGCCGATTAGGATGGAAAAGAGGCGGGGTTCCTGAAGCTTTGCGGGGGAAGACTGCCGAGGAAAATTAGTGAATTGAAGATGGACCTCCAGTCATATATAAAGGGGGGTTTTTCTAGGATTATGAATACGATATATGCAGATAAAGTACGGATAAGTGAAATCCGGTTCCCAGTTGGGAATAAATAGGTGGACCCCGGACCCGGACAAAGATATTTTTGAAATGAAATTTGAAATCTCGGCCCTTGCCAAAATTGTGTTGTTTTGGGCACATATTTTATATTGGTTGCATACTGTTTTTCATTACCAGTGTACTTCCAGTCTGAATTAAAGGCTATATGTAGTACAAAGATGTAGATTCAAAGATGCAGATTCAGATGCAGCCCTGGAGGTCAAATGTATGCTCTTGTTTGTTTGCAGCCACGTTTTTGCGCCACGTGATTTATGAACGTTTTATGTCGAGCTACTCGGGTACACGGCATCGATCTGATTGGTCCACTTGACTCGAGTTCAAGGAACAGTCCAACTGACGGGAGGTCATAGCGCTTCTATTCTATTCTAGTCTATGCTAGAAATTAATCTCCTTCTCTACTATTATACATGGCATATACTACGGAGCACTCCGTACTCCGTACACTTATAGTTGTATGTATGTATAAACATATTTTATAAGCAAATGTGCACATCGGGCCGTGCATAACACTCGGACCAGCCCACATTCGGACGTTCCGCATGGGACTCGGTACCTTACCGAAACTACCGAAGCTTCTTCCACTCACTCAGATCTAAACTTTCCCTGGATCGGGGCATCTAAGGATAATCTCCGGTGCACATACATAAATGGGGTTTATAATCCTTATGACCGGCAAACTCCGTGCACATACTTCGTACGAAGTACATGAACAGTATTGTGATTATCAATCGTCAACGTCAGAGGCCTATGCATGGTGGAGCTACTAACTACCTGGTTGTATGTAAGATATGTATAAGCGTTCCATTCTTTTCTAATTCAGCCCCTATTGAGTACCCAGATAGGCAATCAGGATGCTATTTCCGATGCTAACGCGTAATTTGCTTACCTTTCACAAGTGTCTTTGAAATCAGATCCAAGCTAGGCATCAGCGATGTGTTTCGCTTCGATATCCATCGAATGTTGTATTGATCGAGTTCACATGAGCCATCAGGCCACCCATGGGCCGATAACAGCCATCACGTTAGGCACGCGCGGACTCGAAAGAGAAATGAAAAAAAAAAAAAAAGGCGTAATCGAAGACATTCCCTGCTCTATCCAAATTTCTACCTTCAGCTAAGGATCAGTTATGAACGGTGCATTCTGTAAGCGATGTACCTTTTAAATATACACATATTAGGCTACATTAGGCTATATCTCCAGGGTTCAGCGAAGGTTCGGTAGTACTGGCATTAGGGAAAAAAACCACTTCGGGTGGCTTGCAGAAAAAAATCAGTCCGAAGGAGAAGCTTGGAACCAAGGAAAAGCGAAGCCACCAAGTCAACGGAAGCTAGAATTCTCTACCGTGTCTTGGCGCCTTCTTTTTCGCCTCAGGCCAGCTGTTAGACTTGGATCCACTGGGAATAGATACATTGGCTACCAGACTATGTAGCCTTGATCTTGGTGCCCAAGAGGCATATACGTGTCAATCTATATAATTACACGCCTCTCAGCTTCAGCTACTTGGCTCTCTCGTCTCAAAGCTTTTCCAGCCATATTGGCAGTAAGATCAAAGAAATGAAACACGCGTTCAAGTCACTCTGTCCCCACTTAAAATCTGCATGACAGCTGGGGACATCTAAACCGCCATGCAGCGTCTGCTTCCGCCTTTGCGAGTAGAGAATCATCGATTTTTTAACGTAGCACTAAATAGATCACCAGCTCAAGAATCCATGCGCGCAGTTTCTGACTGTCAAATTTGCATTGTCGTACCAGTAATGCGCTCGAGTTGCCTATCGTTTTTACATACTGGGTTTGATACCAGAATCGGATCTACCCCTATCAAGGTTATTCTCCCAAGTTCGAAAGCAGTAATCTGATATTACCCTACGCGGATGGTTCTGATTTATTCGGAATATCCCTCGTGATCTGAAGTGTAATGAGTCATTCTGATTTTTCACTTCCGGTACACCTGGGCAGCTACAATTCAGCTACATACTGCTGCCCTGTAGCACCTATGACGTGCTAAGCTCATTATGACTCAATCCTAGTCCAATTCGCGGGTTTTATTTGGAATTAAATGCTTGCGTGGCGATCGGATTCGATTATGGGGTTCTGGTGAGGGCTTTAGAATGACGGGTATGAGCTATTCGGAAACCCGTGTCCAGGTTGCGTGCTTGTTAATTCTTTAATTGTTTGACTGCTGGATTGTTTGAAGAATTTGATTGGAGACTCCAAGTCCCAGTTAATTGTCAGATCAGAGTTAAGTCAAGGTGAAGTCATAGTCGAGTCTCAGACGAGTTGCATTCAGTGCTTCGTAGTCAAATACTAGTACAAGGCGGTGGCCCATGTTCTTAGTGGTCAAGAATCGTTCCAACCTCAAATGTCCAATGTCTGTTTGTTACTGTCTAATTATAGAAGTCTCGTACTTATGTCGACTCTTGTTGCGCGATGAAAAGAAACCTTCTGGGAAGATTCGGGGCGTAATCGAACCACTTGTTTTTATATTGGCTTGGAAACAATCATGTGCAGAGATTCTACTGTCGTAGGCTAAATACTTTCCCATCTCATTTTTGTTGGGCAGTGTTGTTAGGTGCTGGTACTATAGCCCTGAATGGATACGTCACCAGTGAGAACGGGGTGAAGGGCAATCTCCAGGGCTTGCGACCGTCGGACATACAAACACGATATAAAGAAAACCCAGACAAAGGCAGAAAGACCACCTCAAGCCTGAGTGGACTAATAGATATACAGAAGACGCGCCGATCGCAAAGAATTACAGAGATTTACCATTTACAAGGAAGAAGCAAAGTAATGAATCATAGCAGACAGCATTAAAGCGTCTTGTCATGAGATGATGCGCGCTAAGGCATCATGTTAAAGGGAGCCCCCATAATGTACATGCCCATGACTGACCCATCAATCGATGGTGAGCAGTAGCATCGATAAAAAAGCAAATTGCGAAGCAACCCGGTGCCGAAACCCATTGATATTTGAAAGCAAACCCATCATGTATCGCCAGTAGTCATGATAAAAAGATAAAAACAAAACCCCGTGATCGCCTTTCAGAAAACCAGCTCGTTGAAAAGAGAAATTACGAGCGCTCGCCACGGAGACGGCGGGCCAACTGGATGTCCTTGGACTGGATGGTGACACGCTTGGCGTGGATGGCGCAGAGGTTGGTGTCCTCGAAGAGAGAGACGAGGTAGGCCTCAACGGACTCCTGGAGAGCACCGATGGCGGAGGACTGGAAGCGGAGGTCGGACTTGAAGTCCTGGGCGATCTCACGGACCAGACGCTGGAAGGGGAGCTTGCGGATCAGGAGCTCAGTGGACTTCTGGTAGCGACGGATCTCACGGAGAGCAACGGTACCTGGAGATGGAACGTTAGAAAATATTCCGAGGTATGCTTTGCTTGGTTGATGTCACTGTTCGACATGATAGAACTTACCGGGCTTGTAGCGGTGGGGCTTCTTGACACCTCCGGTAGAGGGGGCGGCCTTGCGGGCGGCCTTGGAAGCGAGCTGCTTACGGGGGGCCTTGCCACCAGTGGACTTACCTGTTTGAGACAGTCAGTAAATAATTATCAACCGCGTGAACGCGTCACCAAATCCTCCCCTCACCGCGACACCTGACTAATCAGGAGGCGACAGTGAGGTAGGAAGGTGAATAAAATATGATAAAATAAATACTTACGGGCAGTCTGCTTGGTACGAGCCATTTTTGATGATAGATTTGATGAAAAAAGTGGTTTTGTTGATGAAAGAGTTGGTTGGCGGAGGATGGATGTAGAAGGGAAGAGAGAGGTGGGTGGGGGAAGAGTATTTGTAGGAGACGGGAAGGGGGGAATTGATCTGGAAGGGAGCCACGAATCAGGGGGAGTGAAATTCTGCGCGTAGGACTGGGGACTGCGTAGCGTGTAGCCCAAAGACTGATTTGCGGTGAGCTCTGATTGGCTGAGCTGGATCAAAGTGCTGGTACTGCCAACTAAGCGAGCTCTAGACCAATGAGAATGCAGGATCAAGGAGTATAGAATGCCAAACCCTTAAATTCTTGATCTTGCACCCAGACTCCTTTGGATGGAGGATCAATGCATTCTGAAGTATTCAGCATCTTTTGGAATGTATAATTGTTCTATTTTTATTGTAGATTTACATTGTTGATGGTGAATTATAGGAGGATCAAAGATGGTCCACGGCAAAGTCGGCGTTCCGACTCTGGGGTCTCCCGGTAGATCAAGGTTGGTCTGTGATCCTGTTCTCTCATTGGTGGACGTCATCCCTAGCGCGTGATTTCCCAATCCTCGCTGATTCCCGTACCATACAAATATCCTCTGTCCACTTCCGTTTCCTTTCCCTCTTCTTCCATCAATTCCATCGACAACCTTTCAACTACCAACTCTACATCCCACTTCTAAAAACTCCCTTTTTCCTTCTAATCCATATTCAATATGTCTGGCCGTAAGTTACTACCCCACACTTCTATTTCTTCTCGAGAAACGCGTTCTAACGCGTCTCATTTCAGGCGGCAAGGGTGGAAAGGGTCTCGGCAAAGGTGGTGCCAAGCGTCACCGCAAGATTTTGCGTGACAACATTCAGGGAATTACCAAGCCTGCTATCCGTCGTCTCGCACGCCGTGGTGGTGTCAAGCGTATCTCCGCTATGATCTACGAGGAGACCCGCGGTGTCCTCAAGACCTTCCTCGAGGGTGTTATCCGTGACGCTGTTACCTACACTGAGCACGCCAAGCGCAAGACTGTCACTTCTCTTGACGTTGTCTACGCTCTCAAGCGCCAGGGCCGTAAGTTTCCACGTGTCTTCCCGTTACGCAACGCGTCTCTAACCTTCCTATTCAGGTACCCTCTACGGTTTCGGTGGCTAAATCATTTGTTCTTTTCTTTTCCGGGCTGGTTCACGGTACGACGGGACGTTGGGGTGTTCTCTGATTTATTTTACTACAACTGTCATGGGTCTCTGGGTTTGCTTTTCATAACACTCGATTACCAATATTGCGCGTCAATGGTGTGCGCTTCTGAGCTTTTCTGTATCATAGCGGCCTCCAAATTACGGCTGGCACCATGGATATGGTGGGATCAAGCACTTGAGTGCGATCCGATACGAATACAATCAAAACTTGAAACAATTTTGACTTCGGTCTTGTCAGTAGTACCCCTCGTGCAGTAGGTGTCTTGTACCTTGGTGTGTTTGTTTGCTTGGAGGCTGGGGCTCGGTGTTTGGTGGTTGCACTTGAGGTCTCCGTGGTTTGGGATTGCTGGACCCGTTGTTTTGACTGTCTGAGGCCTATTGCCCATGCTCAGCATTAACCCACTATGAATTATGGAATATGATTGGATCTGTTACTGACCTAGTATTCCTATCTCTTAGCCTCTAAATGTCTATTCGCTGTGCTATCGCTGTTTCTTTGGTGCTTCATGATATCATGTGTATAGTACACAATGTACTCGTGTCCGTTAACAACTTCATCTTGCTTCTTTGTAGCCCATATTCAATCAAGTACATAGTATGTTGAATTTATTTGTGGTCTGGACATTTAATTGGCCGATTCGATGCGACTTGAGGTCTATAGGTTGCCCTGTGTGGGTGGGTTATATATGGGTAGTATACTAGAAATATATATCAAGCCCAACATTAAGCTATGGACTCTCAGTCAACACGCGGGACAGCATGAAACTCACTTAGACGCATAAATAAAGACTAGATACCCAATTAATATCCCAGCTGCTCAATCTGGAGCTGTATAGACCATGTATTGTGGCGTGGGGAGCAAGATTAAACTGGAGATTCATCTAGACCGAAGTTGAACCCCCTGAAATGGCAGTTCAACTTCACTTGGCGCTACTCAACATAATACATTCGGACCTCCCACAACCTAGCTGAAAATTCATCTAATTCAACTGGATTATGACAGGAATGGGGGGGGGGAAGAAAAAGACAGGGTCGGAACTGGACAATTCTGTTCTCTCCCTGAAGTCCAGCGGAAATCCATCTGTCAGATGAAGACTGAGTTGAACCCCCAAGAAGGGCAGTCCAACTTTACTTGGCACTAGTACTATGGGCGCTCCCATACATGCAGACACACCAGACATCCATGGATGGTCTGAAGCGCTCTTTCGTCATCACAGCCTAAAAGACAGACATGCAAACTTTAAAATAGACCGTATCTACACTACAGATAATAAATGCGGCGTTGTTAAGCGAGGGATGGCGGCTGACTTGCCACGACACCCCGGGACAGGCCAAAAGGCACCGACAAATAAACAGCATATGCAGGCAGCAAACATCAACATACATGAGGCCAGATACGTGTCAGAGTACCCAACTGCCGTACGCTGTCTCTCGGCCAAGGCCATGTACACCACCACATGCCCACGAGTACCTAAGATAGCATCGAAGGTTGGCCAACATACATGACTACTGCCTGGTAATTCGGCAGGCCATCCACGCTCAGAAGTCGGAAACTGGACAGAACAAATCCGTCAGTCTCCTCACTGGATGACCTGACAAAAACACGCGGAGCAAAGGAAGACAGCGAATCCGCTTAAATGGAGGCCTAATGTAAGGCCGAAATGCAGGCAAACACTCCAGACTTGCATGGATAGCTCGAGATACGTATGTACATATTTTTCCCCCTCCTTTCTCCATATCGCCATCATACCCATCAGCTGAGTTCATAAACCAGAAGAGGGCCAAGCACCAACACCACCAAGATTCGCTATAACCCTGTCACGATGGGGAAAAAGACACCCCTAAGAAGAAGTACACAGTTCAAAGAGCTTCTTCAAGGCCTAGAAAGGTACAGATCTACCATATAGACAATAGAAAAGACCACTAATAATACCGCAGCATACACCTTGACTCCAAATATAGCGACCTCACCATTGCGTGTGGAGACAAAGAATATGCTGTGCACAGATGCATAGTTTGCCCAAGGTCGGATTTCTTGACCGAAGCTTGCGGTGACGGATTCGGGGTGAGATGCACATTGAGATGATGGGAGCCAGACCCAAGAGGTTCACACCGACTGACCAAACACAGGGATCGGCCAAAAACAGGGTTGTAATAGAAGAAAAGCCGGCTCTAATAAAGGGGGTGATCGACTACCTCTACACTCTGGACTACCACATGGAAGTTCATACCCCAGAAACAGACCTTTCCCAAGAACCAGACGGAGAGGAGGCCCAGGATAGCCCGAACAAGCCCGATAGCATAAACGAAGATAAAGCGACCGCGTGCAATACCCTGTCGCTTTATATATCGATGTACTCGCTCGCAGACCGATTGCTCATCCACGGGCTAAAGGCTCTCTCGAAGGAAAAATTCGAGAAAGAGCTAGCCCGGCGGTGGCTGGACCCAAGCACGTTCTCGCACGCCGTTTCCGAGATATACAACTCAACACCCGAAAGCGACCGTGGTCTACGGGACCTCATAGTAAACGTGACCATGGACAACCTTGTGATCCTGAGAACTGGGGCGAAAACGATGGATTCCACAGTGGCGGGAAACGGAGAAGAATCAGGACCTGTGGCTTTTCCAGACTCCCTGGCGAGATCTGTCCCACAGTTTTCGTCTGATTTGGCCGTGGAAATGATGAACAGAACGGTTGCCGACTGGAATCGTCATGGAACGTGTAAACCGAACTGGGTTCAGTAGGCTACTCACTGGGACTAGGCGACTCACTCCGAGGCTAGTCCTGAAGAAACCTAGAAAGGCTGAAGCGAGATTTACTTGGAATGTGACAAGTGGGCTGGGATAATTCAAACCGTATTGCAAGCAAAGTGCGATCGTAGTTAAACTGTTTTATGTAGGTGATCAACCTCGAGTAAGCTGTACAAAGAACAAACACAATCAGCTGCTGTATACAATAGAAGGTTAGAAGGTGAACAGAACGCGACAAGTTGAAACCAACAAGCAGTATCAGACCAATGGAGCGAACGCCTACGTGTAAAATCAAACCAGCAGCTCGATACCCCTTGATTGACGCTGGAACACCTGATTAAGACCACAAAGACCGAAGAAATCAAGTAGACACGAGGGCAAAAGAGGATGGCATCAACAGGGTCAAGTGAGGCCGAGATAGGACACCAGATGCGTCATTCTGACCACAGCAATACGATTGACAGGGGTTGAAGGTCACGACACCCCATGATGACCGTCAAGCTGATATGACCTTACTAACCTCTGAATTGCTCGCCCCTAGTGAAGCCGATAAGATTTTGTCTTATCCTAACTTCTACCCTCACCCGGCGAGATATCTATCAGCCTACCCGGCCGACTATTACTGAATCTCCTCTACAGACAGCCCTCGATGCCCCCTACCCCCTAAGAAACCGGCCCTGATTGTCGAACCAAAAGGCGAACTACGCTATAGAGTCTTGTTCGGGGGCGTATCCATGGATATCTTCAGTGTTCAACAGGGCAAGTGGCCATCCAATAATCCATGGGGTTGTTGAATACTGGAAATGA